TTTTGTATCTTCATTATAAAATTATCCATTTTGTAAAATAAATATGTATGTGAGTTCATATACATACACAAGATACACACACCCATACAATTTGTTTCATCCTTTCACTATTTTTGTAACATGTCTTGGAGTGTTCAGATAGAATTATGTAATTCAGAAAATCATCTTTTAAACGACACAGAATTCACCCTAAATATTCAAGTAGCTTAAGAACTAATCTTCCTACTAACTCTTTACAGTTATACCAGAACATTATCATTAACAATTTGTGTTCTTTTCCTCACTTACTTTATATCTTATCACATAATCTGACCTTGCGAGGATTCTTGCTACCATTAAATGGACCACCACTGTGAAAGATCTGTTAGAGAGAAGGTAGGGGTTGAGAGAATGAACTGACCTAGGTTCAAATCCTGGCTTTGCTACTTTCTGTCTGGGCAGTTTCCTCAAATCTGTGCCTCAGTTTCCTTATCTGAAAGATGAGTAATAGGAACAGGAGCTTCTATACGGAATATTAATAGATATGGCAGGTATAGTGTTGTAACAATTCTGGCTCTTGCAAACAAAAGAAGAAAAACAGGAAATAAACTATAACAAAATCATAATTTAAAGAAAACTAAATAAATCTCCTGATTGTTTGCAAAGTACAGTGTCCTCAACATCTGAGAGTTTATTAGAAATGCATAGCTTTCGCACCTGTCCCAGCCTACTGGATCAAAACCTAGATCTTTGCTTAACAGGGTTTGCAGGTGACTTCTTTGCTCACTGCTCCCTGAGAAGCACTGCCCACCATCTCATTTAAGTGTTAGGTGGTAAAGAAATAAAAATAATTATGTACTTCCTAACATGACTTTTCATTTTGAATACTTCCTTTTAGAAATTTACATATGCCAATAAATATTTCCTTTAGATGTTTTTAAACTACATGTTATGGGCTTGGTTTATTTACTCTACCACATCACGTATATTATTATCATTTTAAATCAATCAGAACACTTCCAAAGTATCCACAGGGTGGAGGGTTGGCCACCGATGTATGAAACAAATTGGTTAATTCTAATAAAGATATATTCTGAATTGGGTTTACCAAGTACAATGAAATTGGCCAAGAATATAATCTTTATACAGCAAGATAAAGTGAATAAAAGAAGAGTCTGTGTCTGCAGCTTCCTAGGCCCCAAGTTAATTGAAAGGATTCACATTTGTGTAAATCACCCACCCTCTGCAGATACAAACAGAAATGCTTTATGTGTATATGCTGCATTTTGCAGGGTGTAGCGTCAGAGACTTTGGAGCAGGGGTGAAGAAGGGCATAGGGGCCAACTTTCAGAGGGATGATTTAATACAGGAAAACTGGGAGGCTGAGGAGTAGGGTTTCATCTCAGAGAAGGAAAAAAGAGGGTCTTGAATATGGATTTAAAGGAAGCCAGAGTTACCTAGCTACAGAGAGAAGGAACAGATGTTAGGGTAGATGAAGAGAGATGTGGACACTGGAGCTTTCCTGCTCTTTCCTCCTACGGGTTCAAATTGAAGCCATATCCTTTCCTGGTCTCTTTGATAGGGCTGTTTAGATCACTCAGCCTTTGTTCTCAGGACTTAATACCATGATATCGGTTGGAAGAACTACTTTATTGCTAATGCTCTTCCTCCATATATTCTATTCATTTAAATGAGTGTAAGAAAATATAATTAACAAGCTATATGAATTGTTTTTAAAAGTTAAATCATTTTAAAATTATACATAATCATAATCAGTTATATAAACACAAATGCAATAATTTGAAAATAGTAGTAAGATTTTTTGTTTGTTTTTCAGGTTTATGCAATCAATAGTGCTGGTGCAGGGCCAAATGTTCAGATGAGAATAACCATGGATATTAAAGGTACATACAGCCTTTGCCATGAAAGCTGCGGTCTTAACTTTTTTTTAATTATTGAAATACAGTCAGTTACAGTGTGTGAACTTCTGGTGTACAGCACAATGTCCCAGTCATGCATATACATTCATTTTCATATTCTTTTTCATTAAAGGTTATTACAAGGTATTAAATATAGTTCCCTGTGCTATACAGAAGAAATTTGGTTTTTTAAATCTATTTTTATATATAGTGCTGACATTTGCAAATCTCAAACTTCCAAATTTATCCCTTCCCACTCTCTTTCCCCCTGGAACCGTAAGATTGTTTACTATGTCTGTGAATCTGTTTCTGTTTTGTAGATGAGTTAGGGTCCTCTTTTTTTCAGATTCCACATATGAGTGGTATCAAATGGTATTTTTCTTTCTCTTTCTGGATTACTTCACTTAGAATGATGATCTCTAGGTCCATCCATGTTGCTGCAAATGGCATTATTTTATTCTTTTTATGGCTGAGTAGTACCCCATTGTATAAATATATACCACAACTTCTTTATCCAGTCATCTGTCGATGGACATTTAGGTTGTTTCCACGTTTTGGCTATTGTATATAGTGCTGCTTTGAACACTGGGGTGCAGGTATCTTTTTGCATTAGAGTTCCCTCTGAATATATGGCCAGGAGTGGGATTGCTGGGTCATATGGTAAGTCTATTTTTAGTTTTTTGAGGAATCTCCATACTGTATGAAATGATGTTGTCTTAAAGAGTAATTATAATTTGTATTCTGTATTAGAGTTAAGGATGTAGTCAAGCTTTTAAAAGATGCATCTGCATGTAATAAGCATACATTAAGTAATCATTAAGTAATAATGTATGCTTATTAAGGAGAATGCCCGTTACTATTTATCTTACATTTCTTTTCCACTAAATTTAAGCTTTTCTGAGACAAATTTTATAATTGTATTTTGTTTTAAAAATTTAATTGAAAAGAAAATGCACTTTTAAAATTACCCATGACTAGACTGTGACTAACTTTAGATTTCTTGACTGATCTTGATTTATCTTGAAAGTCAGAGGCATTGAACACAGTTCCCTGTGCTATACAGTAGGAGCTTGTTGTTTATCTGTTTTGTATAGTTAGTATCTGCAAAAAAAATCTGGAATGCTTCATGAATTTGTGTGTCATCCTTGCACAGGGGCCATGCTAATCTTCTCTGTATCATTCCAGTGTTAGTATATATGCTGCCAAAGTGAGCACTTAGCTTTAATATTGCCAGAATAATTTCTAAAAGTGCCATGAAAATCCACATTTTTACCACCAATGCATATGATTATCCCCCAAATCAGTATCTGTGGAATCTGCACTTGTTTCATTTTATCTTTAGGCTATATACACCAGCTGTTTGAGCATCAGTAAGTTGCTTAATCAAACTTCAATTCTCAGATTTATAAAATCTTTTTTTAAAACCTACCAGCAATGCCGTAACACTGGCAGTATCATTTCCATTTTATAGATGAGAAAATGGTCTTAGAGCCAAAAGAGGGAAATAACAAGATTTGAACCAAATCTTTTTGACGTGATCCTTTAGCTCACTCCTCTGAGATGTAAAGGTTGTGATGATACTGGATGTGTAGGAAGTTTACTGGGGAAAATTTCTGTGAATAATACGGGCCAGGGAGCAGGAGTAGGTGGCAGGGTCATAGATCACAGGTCTGACACGTGTGAATGGGGAGAAGGAAGGAAGAAAGGATTTGGTAGGAAGAGCCTCAGGTTTTCAAGGAGTTCTGAGAAACTTTGAGAGGGACCACTGGGGAGTCCTCAAGAAGATGTTTCCAGTTAGAGGAATCTGGCATTGGACATTACTGTCCAACTTGATATTATCTGTCAAATGCAAATTTAATGAGACAACTATTAATTCAGTGTCACTCCATGTCACTAAATCATGCATTATTACTGGGAAAAAATTAATTTATCTAGGATCCCACCACTGCCACTAGTACTCAATATACATATACCCGATAATGAAAAAAAGGAATGTATGCATATATATATATACATACACACACATATATATGTATATTTCCAGTTATACATATATAACTGGAAAACTTTGCTGTGCACTAGAAATTAACACAACATTGTAAATCGACTGTACTTCAATATAAAAAGAAGTGTGTATCTTTTGCTCCATAAATTCTACTCTTGGGTATCTACTCCACAGAAACAAAAGGATTAGTAAATAAGGCTAAATGCGTAAGACTGATAAGTGAAGCAAATGTTCAAAACCTGAAGGAAAAGTGAATTCCTATCACTAAATGGATGGCTGTAATACGATGCTGTTGTACTGTGACATACAACACCCTGATTAAGAAAAATGAGTTCGCCCTGTACTTGGTAATTTCGAAAGGTTTACACAAGTCGTATTTAAGTGAGAAAAACAGTATGTGGGGTAATTTTAATACTTACTATAGCCCCATTAAACATATCAAACAGTGAGAAGAATCCATTAGACATGATTTTGTGTTTTTTTATGTGATTATGTGAATGTAGAGAAAAATATGGGAGGATCCCATCCGGGTGTTGGGCATGGGTAACTGAGGGGTCAGAGTTGACTAGAATAGAAATTGGTAAACCAGCTAAAGGAAGTGAAAGAAAACACCCCACTAAAGTATTAGTATGATTTAATGCATTCATGGAGATTACATGAGGAAGTGCACATATATAGGCTGAATTTCGTTAATATGTGAAGAGGAGTCAGACGCCTGAAAAATCACACCTGGGCCCCATTATCTCAGGCAAGTGTCAAATATATAATTATACCATTAGGAGATAATAATTGCTAAATATCTGCTGTATCCAAACAAAAATCTATTTCATTTGTTATTTGTGTTTGTCATCACTTTATCTGTAAATTACCTGCATGAAATGAGAATTTAAATGATTTTTTCTTCTCTGAAGAAACCAAAAATGAATTGTTGTGATATTTCTTCTTTGCTTATAGCTCCAGCTCGACCAAAAACCAAACCAACCCCTATTTACGATGCCACAGGAAAACTGCTTGTGACCTCAACCACAATTACAATCAGAATGCCAATATGTTACTACAGTGACGATCATGGGCCGATCAAAACTGTGCAAGTGCTTGTGGCAGAAGCAGGAGGTACCGTCACACGCCAGCCTTGTCCTGTCACACTGCAGAGGGCGAACTGCTGAATGCTAAGGACGTTTCCACTCAAAATTAGTACTATACGGTTTACTCCCAATTATTACACAGCTCTTGAGCTTAGTAGATTATTAATATTATCATTAATTTATGCCTAAAATATTTTACCAAAGTAAGGAGGGGGAGGGTATAGCTCAAGCAGTAGAGCACATGCTTAGCATGCACGAAGTTCTGGGTTCAATCCCTGGCATCTCCTCCAAAAATAAATAAGTAGACTTAAAAAAAAATTTTACCAAAATAAGAAGTGTGGTTAAAATAGGTGATTTATTTATTCCATATGCTGGTAAGATGGTTTTGACTTTGGCAGGATGGAGTCTTGATAACTTCTTTGAGGTGTGAATGAGCGTTACCCTTGACTGAGGGATGTTCTTTCTCTTCATGAGAAGTCCTTCTTCACAGCAATGCCCATAGATGCTTGTGTGATGGGCGGGATGGGATTCCATGCCTAGTCAGGGGGATCAGCTTACTCATCTCTGGTGGTTCCTAGAGTGACAGATGTTGTATCCAGGTTTTCCTCATGCGATTATAGAAACACCCTTTATAAATGAGAAAATACATTTGTATATTACTTGTAATCATTATTTTTTTTCTGAAAATAGCTCAGCATGATGGAAATGTAACAAAGTGGTATGATGCGTATTTTAATAAACCGAGGCCATATTTTACAAATGAAGGCTTTCCTAACCCCCCATGTACAGAAGGAAAGGCAAAGTTTAGTGGCAATGAAGAAATTTACATCATAGGTGCTGATAATGCATGTATGATTCCTGGCAATGAAGACAAAATTTGCAATGGACCTCTGAAACCGAAAAAGCAATACTTGTAAGTATAGTTTATGCCTGTTTTGTATCATGTTAGCATGCTAGTTGACATCTTTCATCCATCCATCTACCCAACCTTTTGTCTTTCCAGTAAGCACTGGGCATCCATAATATATCGTGCCCTCATCCATGACAAAGATCAAGTCATTGTCTTTATATTTGATAAACATACAGTTCTAGGGGAAGTAGGCAACTTTAAAAGTAATTATGATTTGATATGGTAAGTGACATAAGGGTAATATGAAAAATGTGTAACTGGAGAACATAGGAGAATTTAATTCTTTCTCTAAAGGACCATGTGACTAATGTGTAATATTTTGTTTTTCACTCATCCTGCCATGCACGCTAATTTACAGGTTTTTAGAAATACTACCCTAGTCTTTTGGTTAATGATGGCTTCAGTTTGCCTCAGTCACAGCAACCATTTCCTGCTCTTTGTTATCAAACGTCTGAATCAGAGCAACCATTTCCTGCTCTTTATGTTATCAAACGTCTGAATGAATGATTGACATCTTTACAGTTCAATTTAATATTTGGCATTTTGTAGACTATAATTATGTAATATAAAAACAAATGCTGATATTTTAACTTTATCAAATGCTTTGATAAATTGGTTTTCTCCTAGTGAATTAACTACTATATTATTTTTGACTATCATTTTTAAATATTTACTTAATTTTTACTATTAAATTTGAAAAAGACAGCTAGTTTCATTTCTGTTGGCTAGTTAAAGCACTATTAAATTATTTATAAACATCCTAGGACAAGTTAATATAAAAGTTAGAGGAGTTAGGCATTTGAAAAAAGAATGCTCTATCATGTTATTACATAAAGTTACTTTGGTTACTAAGTTATGGCCTGAAATTAATCATCATACAATGAGTTATGAAATTATATATAACAAAGTTTAATATTTATTCAAGAATTGTTTATTTTGCCTACTTTTCCAAAACACTCCTCACATAATCCATAAAAACCTAAGAATTTGAGAATAGTAGACATTAAATTATGCACTGCAATTTACTAATGTAGATAGATTTTATATTTTAATCTAGTTTTTAAATAAGGTAAATTTCAGTTGTCTCTGTGGTGTTAGAATCATCCAGGGCTTTTTAAGATTGATTTTTCTTCTGCATCCATTTTCTATTTCATATGTCACGAAAGCATAGAAAGTAAAAATACAGATGTGCACACACAGAATTAAGAAATACTGTTCTTCATTCGTTTACACGTGAACAAGGAAGTTTTATATGACCATTCCAAATCTGGCTTACTGGTATTTTCAGAGGTGGGTGAGGTATAACAGTTACGCTTTATAAAGTGTGCCTGTGCAGATACTAAGTCGTGTCAGCCAAACAAATCCGTGAGGGAGGTGACCTACTGCATCTGATTAACCTGCTGACTGTTTCACGAGTCTGCTCAAATTTTGAGTCACTCTGAAGTGTAAGAGGTCCATGACCAGGATAATTATTCATCTCACGTAAGGATATTATTTATTCATCTGGATTTCCAAGCTTACACTTTGTAAATTCATTTTCTCTTGAACAAAAATGTATGTTTTTTATAGCTATTTGTTAATAGTATTCATAGGAAAAAAAGTCATATGGTATACAAGTTTTTTGGTTTTTGTTTTTTTATAGATTTAAATTTAGAGCCACAAATATCATGGGACAATTTACTGACTCTGATTACTCTGATCCTGTTAAGACTTTAGGTAAGACATACTTCGTAGTTTTATTTCATTATAATCTCAACATGCTAATCACCACTGTAACATTCGTTAGTAAATGTATTAATCCGTGACTGAATGTTCTCAAGTATAAATACATTTCAAGGTTAATTATCTCGACTAAGGAGAAAACAGTATTTGAATATTCTTTTAAGTGTTGGATGTTCCATCTATTCAGATCTCAACATAGATTTCAACATGATATTTGTTCTAGGCTGCTGTGTACTAACACTATACTAGGCAAGTATTTATTACTCTGTTTAATATGTAATCTTGTATGTAAAACATTTTTACTTAATACAAGAGAAAAAGGATTATGGAGATTCTTCCTGAAATAATCCTAAAAACCAGAGGCTTACCAGTCTTAGTTTTATTCTTTCTGATCAACTCTTTCATGAGTTTTTCAATTACAGCCACCCCATCAGGCCTGAATAAGACACAAATACAATTCAGTCAGATGCAGGTATGTTTCTTCTTCCTCCTCCTCCCCCACCCCCCTCTCTTCCTCTTCTTCCTTCCTCTTTACCATCATCTTAAATAATACTAAATATTCTGCGCCAGACACTCTAGGGCTCTTTGTATGTATTAGCTGATGGAGTCTTCACACTCATCCTTTAATTTAGGTCACTGGTTTTCACCGAGTGATTTTACCCGCCAGGGGACATCTAGCAATGTGTGGAGTCATTTTTGGTTGTCACAACTGGGGGAGGGGGGCATTCAAGCTTCTGGCATCCGGTGGGCAGCGAGGCCAGGGTGATGCTGTGTGTCCTCCAGCACGTAGGACAGCCCCTCCAGCAAAGACTCATCTAACCCATAGTCAGGGGTGCTGAGGTTCAGAAGCTTTGGTAGGTGCTAATGTTAGTTCCACTTTATAGATGAGGAAACCAAGGCCCAGATTCAGTGACTAAGTGGCTCTGCCAGGATTCCAGGACACATTTCATAACCATTACCCCACAAGTACAGGATTGAGACCTGGATTCCAATCTTGGCGCTGCCACTTGAAAAAATAATTTAATTTCTATAAACCTCAGTTTTCTTATTTGGAAAACGGTGATGATAGCATCTGCCTTGAAAGATTTAAATAAAACAATATAGGTAAAGATATTAATATTTTATAGTTCATAAAATTTTAAATGTTTAATAGCTTCTTTTTGGATATGTTATAATCAAAGATTTAAAAAATATACTTCTTTAGGGAGAAATTACTTTCCTAGGATTTCTGTGAGTACATCACACCTTTGTTTCCTCTGTATCAAGCTCCGGGAGTGTGGAACTTTATGTGTTGTTCAGATCAGAGTATATCATGAATGCAGTAGATTTTACTGAGCTGTGGCTGGAAGAAGATGGATTGTTCCACCATTTCCAGTGAGAAATTCTAATCTGGTTGTGGATCGTTGGCTTTATAAAAAGCCAGCTTCTGCTGCCTCCACTTAGTTAAGGAAACTTTGGATCTTGAAGAAATAAGGAAGGGGCACATGGTTAGCTACATAGTTGTTTACAGAGGAAAAACACAAATTTTGTTGGCCGTCTGCTTAATTCCATAAAATCATCGCTTTAATTTTACCCAATAATTCAATCATTTTAAATTGGCTGACTAGACTTACGGTTTTTAAACGTCGAGCGTTTCTTCATTTGGTAGGTAAGTTTATCACACTCTGACCCCACCACTGTGAGGTAAATGTTTTGATGGCATCAACATAATTTCCTTTAGGTTCCAGCGTTCAGAAACTATGTATTACCGCAGCTAAACGGTGATCCCCATGGGTTTACCGATGGAAGATGAGAGACGTAGAACAAGTGGATGGCTCATGTGGCTCAGGGAGGTGACACTTCGTGGAAGCAGAGCGAGAAGAGATGCCCCTGCTGTACTGTCTGTTGTGTGCTAGTCCTCTCAGAGCTTGCTGGTTCCATACAGATTGTTGATATGGGGACAGTAAGTTCAACCAATGATCTGAAATGCAAAGTTGACACTTCTAGGGTAATAGGAATGAAGGAAGAGGGAGAGCCAGGCAGCAGGAACCGTAGTATACGGAACCTGATTCCTCAGATTCTGCCAAAAGGCTTCCCTCTGGCCAAGGATGGGCCTCATCCAGCACTTTGGCAATAGGTGGTCTCAAGGTGTTCCTCAGCGACAGTCTTTTTCCTTCCTTCCACTCACGGCCAAATTTGTGGAATACATTCAGTAATTCTAGAAGGTAGAAGAAATACACCATCAGTTCTCTGGGTCCAGTTTTGGAATCAGAACCACTCCCGCCCTAATCACCCAGGTGCTGATGTTCGGGTGCCCTGGGCACAGCAGGAGACGAGGGGGGTGTGAGATGTGGAATGAAGGGCAGAGCGCTGGGTCCCGCCGGAGTTAGAGTAGGAGGGATCGGTGAAACTCAGA